CCTGCGTTAAGCCTGGGTTTCTGACCACTCTTTCTACATTGTCAGCTGACCTCGGCTCCCAGGCTGTAATCTCGGGCCTGAGGTGGACCAGGACTAATAACTAACACTTGGGGCATCTGTCAAGTTACAGCAAAAGCTAGCATCTGTGCAAGAAGGGCATCCCACTGGAGTACCTCAGGCACTATCTTTTCTCCCATGGGATGAATCTTTAAACCACTGGGGTCCTGGAACCTTCTCTCTAATTTTGCTCTAGACTGACCAGTCTTGGGAGGGTTGAACGGATGCTGGTCTCCACAACTCAGGGAGGTGGTTTGATAGAGTTTGAGTTCCCCATGGGGATCCCTTCCCCTGCTCTCTCCTCTTTAGGGCCTCATGCAGGTTTAGGTCTGGGTCAGAAGGTAGACCAGGGCCTGCTTAACCCAGCAGGGAAGAAGGGAACTCCACCGATTTGCCTTGGGTGACAGGGTCAGTCCTTGGGGTGCACAGGATGGGGAACAGGAAGGAAGAAGGTGACAAGATTGGGGGGGGGAGGCATCATGCTGTCAGCTCTGAGCATTCATACCCATTCTTCCTGAGATCATACAGTCCTGACCGCCGCTGCCTTTGGGCTATTTCTCTGGGCTGTGGTTGCAGGGAATAGCCTGGAGGCATGAGCTGGAGCTTGCTCGCGGCTCACTGTATAAGCTCTCTCAAGCTCAGTGTTCCCATGCTGGAATGAGAGCCTGCTGCACACAAAGCACATGTGTGGACCTGTGCGTCCATTCTGAAGGATCTGGAGCATATGGATAATCAATACAACTTCAGGGGATACACTGCTTGCTGCTGTAACGATAGCTTTTGTCTTTAACACGGGAATTTCTTATCTTCTGCCAGCGTCATAGAAATAGCGAGAGTAACAGGAGCTTGGCGGCTTGTGGGCTAACCTGGCAGAGAACTGACTTGGATAGGGTAAAATTCCGGCAGCTGCTTTATTCTCCCCTGGGAGCTCGAACCCAGGGCTGTGTACAAGCTAAGCAAGCACTCTGTCACTAAATTACATTCTTGGCATAGCATCTGGTTCTGGGGGGAATAGGTCTTAACCAATATGGAGATCACCACTCCCCACCTCCTTTTTGAGGTAGGGCAGTGGTTCTCAACCTTCCTAACGCTGCTGCCACCATTAATACAGTTCCTCATGTTCTGGTGACCCCCCCAAGCATAAAATTATTTTCATTGCTACTTCATAACTGTAATTTTGCTACTGTTAGGACTCATAATGTCAATGCCCGTGTTTTCCTATGGTCTCAGGTGACCCCTGTGAAAGGGCTGGTCAACTCCCAAGGGGCCTCGACCCACAGGTTGAGAACCACTGGGGTAGACTCTCATGTCACTTGGGCTGGTCTCTAATTTACAATGTCGGCAAAGATGACCTTGAACTGCTGATCCTCCTGCTTCCACCCTGGAAGTACTGGGTTTATAGGAGACACCACCACACCAGCAGGGTACCTTCTGTTTCCAAAGCAAATGGCCCTGTAGGGCTGACACTAACGCTTGGAGGAGGGGACCACAAACTTCCTTCCCTAATCTGGGAAACTGAGGCTCCTGAGGTCAGGCAACACCCAAGGACACCCAGGGAGTGAGGATGCAGAGACTTTGAGGATGACAGGGAGTTTCCAGGATCAAGTTTCTCCTTCTCTGCTTTCCAAGTAAGCAGATGGGGACTCAGAGGGAGTACAGGGAGGCAGGCAGGAGGTGGGTGGGCAGGCGAACTCTTGAGTGAGATATATTTTCTTTTTTCTCCCCTGGTAGAATGAGGCAAAGGAGAAGCACTCTCTATAAAAGCCTGAGAGGTGCTCAGGTGTCAGCTGCAACTGGACGCCTCCCTGGTCCCCACCCTGGTCAGCGTGTTCCTCCCAACCTGCGCACTGGGTCTCTAGTCTCATGCAGTTTTCTCATTTTCAGCCTTTCCCACAGCTTTCGCTTCAATTTGCTTCTGGAACTTTCCTCAGTTTCCAACTTAACTGTTTGTACATCCGCTGATTCCTCCTCTTTCTCCTCAGTTCCTTTAAGATTGAAAAGCAAGTGACTCTGTACGCCCAGCCTGTCTTTAACCTGAGGCTCAGCCTTTTGCCAGTTCTGCCAACCTGGGTTATGATTTAATTTCCCAGGAACTGAATGGAGGTAACAGGACCTGTGTCTCACGGGTGCTGGGGACCTGAGTGGGGCCACCTAACAAGGAGCTCCTCCTGGAACCAGGAACCCCTGCCGTTAGTGTACTCTGTGGTCTTGTGTTGCTGTTGAGACCCCCAGGGCCAGGAGAGGGAGGAGAGACTGTAAGTGGGAGGAGACAGGATGTAACATCAAAGGGAGGGTGGGGGAGCCTCAGTCAGAGGCTGGGGGGGGGGCGCCACTCACCGAAGAACCATCATGTAGAGCGGGTTGTGGGAGACGCAGGCGATGAGCGCCACGAAGGAGATGAGGAAGGTAGACGCGAGCAGGAAGTGAGCACAGGATACAGGGCACGACCCTGTCTTTGCTGATGCAGATCCTCCGATCACACAGCTGCAGTTCAAATAGCTCTTGAGGAAGAACAGGAGGTAGGTATGTCAGGACTACACCTCCACACGTTTCACACATCCACACAGGCTCTTGCCACAGACTCCCACGAGTATGAACCTCTAGATGCCCAAGATCCCAACCACCAGGCAAAGTACCCTCATCGAGGAGCCTGGAGCCTGGGAGAGCTGTCCTCTGGGCCCAGCCAGCTGCCATGGTTGTTACAGGAGAAGATATATGCAGGGAGCCGAGGAAACAAGGATGGCATTGTATAAACCCTCTGCAGCACTTCCCACTGAGGAGGCGTCCTTTGGCCTAGGAGGGGACCCCACAGGAGGCCCCTGCCTTGTCATAATTCCATATGGCTCGATACCATTGGACAACTCATTGGTGGCCACTGCTCATCTGGTCATCTTGACCTTCCCCTTCCAGGGGCTGATGGGCCAGCCTGGAATGACGTCAGCGTCGGAGCTGTAATGGAGCTGTGTGAACTAGTGCGCTGGGATGCCTCCCTCTTCAGACATGTGGCCTATGTTCCCGCTCCCCTTTGGCTCTCAAGCTCAGAAGTTTATAATACACAACATCGCTGTTACCTCCCTCAGTCTGGACTTTAAACCATCAAGACTTTTTCCCCTTATAATTTATTATTTTTTTCCTTGCTATCATGGTAATGGATTTTATCTTGATATGCCTGTGCTGTTATTGGAAGCCTGTCAAGATTATTTCTGGAAGTAGATGAGTCAGAGGTAAGTAAATAAAGATAAGAAAACCACAGAAGCCACTGCTCTCCCAGTTGGAAGGTAAATTAAGGGACCATCTTGTCTCAACTCCTCACCCTTCTCTGCTTGAGAGCCAAGTGCCTTTGTCCACAGAGGCTGCTGGGGAAAGCAGCCTTGTCCTGTCTCCTTGGAAGAGGTGGTAAGTGGAAGCTAGCCTGGCCTGCAGAGCCTCCGCACAAGTGCATTCTTCCTACTGGGGTATCCTGTGGTAATGGCGCAGACTTCCCATTGCTCTCACTGGGGGAAGAAGATCATCTACCCCCTGAGCCTGGCTTGCCCAGCCCTGCTCAGCCCTGGGCCTGCCTGGCCCTGGCCCTGGCCCCCACCCGGTCTCCTCTCTGCTCCTGTGGTGTACCCAACGCCTGGGCTTTGTACCTGCTCTTCCGTGACCTGCAGTGGGATTCAGGTTTCCATAGGTTGCCTCTGCTCTTGCTCAGGTGTAAGTCATCTTAAGAAGTCCCCCAGGCACTCTCTGTGCTGCTCAGTGTCTTCCCCTTGCACCCCAGCATTTATCTTGTGCATTTATTGGACTGAATGTAAACCATAAGAACGGGCCTTGGTGCCATAGGCTCACCAGCTCATCCTCAGCGTGGTGACTGCACTCAGTGTGTGCTGTGTGCTGACTAACAGACAGATGACCAGAGGAGTCATTTGCCGTTGGCTGAACCCAGAAGGCCCAGGGCCACTGTCCTCACAGATTGATGCATGAGGCCCCTGTAGGTTGCCCAAGAAGGAGACCCATGGCCTTGAACACCAGTTGAGGCAGAGCTTCGACTGCTAATTCCAGATTTGCTCTTAAATAGCTTTGTGACTTCAGGCCGGCTCTGTGGTACCCCTGGGAGCTGAGGGGTTGAAGCAAAGGCCCTCGACTGTTGCTCCCAGGACTGACCTTTCAGGTCCACGTCACAGGGTCCCTCTGCTCCCAGCCCATGTGACCCTGTAACATGACCTGAACCCAGAACCTAGAAGTGCCTCCCTCTCCCCCGGGAGCCATCAGTATCAGCCACAAGTCTCCACTGAGGGCGAACACTACGGCTTGTTTCCATTGTTTCGACAAATCCCCAAGAATGAACTTGTTGGTCACGGGCCAATCTTTAATTGACTTTGGGCTGCAGGCATCTGGTCATGACCCTGGGGCAGGGATGGTGGAGAGAGGGTGGAGGAGGCTAGGATGCTGATGCTGAGCTCCAGAGCCAAGGGGCAGTTTTGGAGATTGCACACCGAGCCCCCAAGCTCCACGTGGCTGTCTGCCCCTGTGACTCCCTCGTCCTTACCGGTTGCTTGGAAGCTGCTGAGCTCATGTTGATGCTGCTGCAGCCTGCGTGGCAAGGGGAGAGGTACTCGACTCCATTGTCTCCGCAGACTGGGTGGAAGACGGAATCCGGGCACACGCAATCCCTGCGGCAGGCGGGAGGCTGCGGATGTATAGAACTTGATGTGCTGCCAGCGAAACAGGAAGCGCGGAATCAAACAAAGCAAGACCAAGAAACAGCCCTACACTCCAGCCCAGCACGAGTTCCTGGCCTGGCTGATGTGCCTGCATGTCTCTGTTTGTCTTGGGCCAGTGCCACCCCAGGATCTGAACTGAGGTCCGTGGGAGCTGGTTGCGAATCTGCCACTGTTTAGAAATCATGGCTCTCTCCATTTATCCTGACACTTGGAGCCCAAAGCCACCAGTTGGGAAGGTCTAGCCAGCAAACCCCAATGCCACTGTCAGAGTCAAAATGACCAACGGATTGAGATGCCCATGACAGAAATGGTAGCTGCCACGGTAATGTCATTGGTGGTACTTGTCTTCTGTCATCTTCCAGCTAGGTTCTGGCTAAAGGCTGGGACCTTTGGAGGCATCTGAGCCTCTCATTGGCTGCTCATCTCTTGAGTCAATATGGATTTGCTGATCTGGGTCTCCCTATTCCCCTCCCCATCCTGGCCAGAACGTCATCTAAGTGGATTTCAATGGCTGATCTTACTGATGTTCCTTGGAGAAGTTGTGACAGACCACAGCTGAGTAGTGCATTGATGAAACTATGCTAGTGACTGGTAGTGTTTATGAGACATCATGACAGAGGGGCTCTTCATGTACAGTCCCCTCAGTATACCTAGAACCAGTTATGCTTCTTATGGGGATGAGAATGCTATAGCTTAGGCAATGTCCCCATGGCAGCAAGGAACATCATACCCAGAACTCAAGCCAAGCAGACAGCAGAGCTGGGACCGAACTCCCAGTGAAAGCCACCCAAAGGCCCCAAAGCTTTCAGGCTCCTCTGGATCCACAGCCAGCCTGCAGAACAGCAGTGAGTTCCCCATGCTAAGCAACGTTCTCTTGCTTTGTTACCCTCCCCTCCCTCCCCTGTCAAATACAGAGACCATCTCAAACTATTCTTTTGGCTTTTGCCTGATGCGGCTGCTGTATTTGGAGATGTACCTCTCTGTGACAAAGAGAATATACAGGGGCTAAAAGGTTCTGAGTCTCCAGATCTTGCCAATTCCTTGGACTGAGTCCTAAAGAAAGGGTTGTCAGGTGGTCACTGGAGCCAGGGGTCAGGGGGTGGGGGAGGGGGGGCGGGCATGTTCCTTGCTCACAGGGTTGTACTGCCCTTTCTGAAGATGAAGCTTGGCTCTAAAGGTATGTTTCACACTGCTTTATACGAACAGACCGGCACTTTGACCTGCCCTTGGCCTTCCCGGCCCCACTTCCATTGCGCATCTCAAAACTTTTCCAAGTCTTCTCTTTCTTCGACAGCTCAGCAAGGCTCTGATTCTAGCTGGCCCAGAGCTGGCACTAACCACAGCTCATTTCCTGGTTCCTAGGGCTCAGGCTCATTCAGAAACTAAACCGATCAGTTTCTGATGCTTCTTACAAAATAGAACCTTCACCCTGACTGCTGGCTGGTCTCATAATGGAGCAAACTTTCTGAGACCTGATTTTCTGTGTTATCGTGTGAGAGATCAGAGCCAAATGAACAGGACAGAGGAGGAGGTAAAAGAGGCAGAGAGGGAAGAATACCCGGTAGCTGGGTTCAAGCTGTGGTTCCAAGGGGCGTCTCTGCGTCCCTTAGTTCATTACCTGGGGGGGTAGACCTCAGCCACAGCTGGGGTGGAGCATCCCATAAAGAAGAGAGGGGCGCAGAGGATTATGGAGATGGTCATGATGGTGGCAGCCACTCGGGGGATGGTTTGCAGAGAGAAAACGAACCGTTTCATGAGGATTCCTCCAAACAGCATCCCCAAGGCCGCAGCAGGAAGGTTTACAGCACCTAGGTGAGGAGGAGAAGGGCTGGATGCACAGCTTGGGAGTCTCGAACTCTACCACCAGCAAGCGTGGCTTCATGAAGGGACATTGGGTATGCTCTATTATACCGGACTCCTGAGTATTATTACTATTGAGTGTTGGCTGGGTACATCCTGAGAATTCACTAGAGGGTTGGCTTGCGCGATCAAAGAATAAAGAAGCAGTCAGCTTTTGACACTTAGAATCCCAGCACTTGGGAAGTGGCGGCAGGAGGATCAGGAGTTCAAGGCCATTCTCACCTACTTAGCGAGTTTGGGATGAGCCTGGGCTACTCTAGGCCTTGTCTCAAAGAAACAACATTGAAAACAAGATGAGAACAACAAGGATAGGGAAGTAGCTCTTTCTTGGGTGGTAACCCCTGGTCTGAGACTGAAGAGGAGAGAAATGATGTCATAGCCAAAGCCTACACCACAGTGCAGAGAGTACAGGGAGCCATCCTCACATCTCACGTCAAATCTACGTGTGTGGTCAAGTTCACCTAGGGACTGGGCCCAGTCATTCACCTAGGCACTTGGTGGAACCTCTGTGGGTGGTTCTTAGCACCTACTTGAAGAAGTATGAGCACCCCACCCCCATAGGTTCTGGGTTCATTAATCTGGGTGGGGGCGAGCATCGACTCAAGTTCCTGGACAAGGAAACCCCTTAAGAGGCGTTTTGTATGTCTCAAGTTCCCTCTCTCTTCTGCTGTCCCCGATAAGGTCATTTGGGAGGCTCTCAGATTCCCACCCTCTTGATGGGAAGGAAAGCAGCCCCCAGCCTCCACCCACTCCTGAATAGAAGAATAGGAGCCTCCGAAACCTGCCAAAAACATTCTAGATTGCCAACCAGGAAAAATGTCCTTAAAATTCTTTCTCTTGGGCAAGCCTCCTGTCTCCTGTCTGTATCCGGTCTGGCCCCGGGCTATCCCTGGATGGATTGGACGGTACCCAGCTCCTCCCTAGGGGAGTACCACCCAGGCCTTGCAGTGGCACCCTCTGACACACCAATGAGGAAGTTGGCATAGGCTGCTGAGGCCCCATACTGCTTCTCCAGGAATTTGTTGAGGAATGTAGAGAGGCCGGCGATGACAGAGGAGAAGGTACACTGAGTCAGGACCACCAGGATGAAGAGTGGGTTCATCAGCAGCCTCAGGAAGATGCGGGGGAACCCTGCAGGTAGATGACTGTCAGGGAACAGGCCTTGGTAAGAGCATCCATCCCCAGCCTCCCAGAGCCTTGCCACTACCCTGACTCATCACCCTGTCACCCTCAGGGCAGCCTTAGAGTCGTCCAGACTCGCAGCGGTCAGCCCAGAGGCACGCAGTCCTGGGATTCCCACTCACTACGCTTGGGGTCTAACAAAGATGCTGCGGGTGGTAGGTAAGGAGTGACAGGGTTCACACTGGGCAAGGTCTCTGCTCCCACGACTACCACCTTTACAGGAAGTGAAAAGGAGACAGTGGGAGTGGGGGCCTGGCGTGGTGACTAGCTCTGCCTGAGCTAGGGTCTACCGGTCCCTGTAAGGAACCAGTCACCAGGATCATTGGCAGAAGCCCTCTGGAGTGAGGGGGCACCTGAGAGGCGAGGCAGTCCCAGATCTTCTTGTTTCTGGTCGCCCTTTACCCTGAACCTGGCCTCCTGCCACCCGGAACCAGCCCGCCCATGGCTGCTGGGGCCGTCAGTTACGTTTAATGAAATCCAACAGGGAGCCTCTTGACTTGTCTTCTTCCTCCATCTTCATTGTTTCATCTGCCACACCAGACCTCTGAAGGCAGCAGACACGGTGATGTTAGTGGCCCGTCCCCGAGCCCTTGACTCTCTGGACTCAGTGGCTCAAGGATCACATGCAGGTATGGGAGGGCACCTTGAGGATGCACTCTTGAAGCAAACACCACCTGTGTTTTAATGAGCCTGGTGCCTTGGCTGGAGACCAGAGTTAATCCGTGCCAGTGCCTCCCACAGTACCTATGGGCATGTTATTGCATCTGACTTTCCCATGACTGATGCCAAAAGCATCATCCTGGATCCTACCCCTTGCCTATATGTCATGGCTACACTGTGTTCCGTATGCAGATTCCTGGGGTAGCTTCTTCTAGGATAACAGGGTTCTCCAATGTCTGCTCTTTTCAGCTCTCCCTTTCTGTGTCCTCCCTGGGGTCCCTGCTTTCTCCTCAGTCCAAAGGTGAGTCCTGCTCCAGGTTCTATCCTAACCGTTACCCATGCCTTCTGGACACATTACCTCAGTCCCCTTGCCAGTCTCTAACGCCAGCAGCTCCAGACAGGGGCCCCAGCCCTCTCTGAGCCACTGCATAGACACAGGCCCCGGGCTTTGCCGTTAGCATTCTTTGGTGCTCCCATTAACTGAGCACCTGTTCAGCTCTGGGCAACATGCCCATCATTCCCCATGCATTACCTCCTTCCTCACAACTTCCTTCCCAAGCAGATTCTCTAATTACCCCCCCCCAAGAACTTTACAAGAGAGGAAGCTGAGAAATAAAGCAACTTGTCTAAGATCATTCAGCTAGTTTATGAGTGGAAGTCTTCAAACTCAGATCTGTCCAACTGAGCCTATCACAATATGTAATGACCTTTAAAATGCTTCCCTGGGATAAGCTCCAGGCCTCTACTCATGCCCGCTTTCGGACAGTGGGGCCCATTTCTGTCTCCAATCCCGGATACAAAGCATGAACTCCAACCCGACTCACAGCCAAGTCTTTGCATCACCCCTCTAGGAACAATCAGCCTGCCCTTTGCCCTGTCTCTCTGGTGGCCATTGTCCTGGCCCTCAGCTGGATTTTCCATCTTTCTCTTGAGCCTCTCAGATCTCTAATTTCCATTCCCTCATGAACCCCAACCTCAGCCAACCGCCATATTGTCACTAGGTGTCCGGGGAGTCACCACGATGTCTGGAACTCACAGGAGAAAATGTTAAGCATTTCAGCCCCACATAAAGGGCCTTACTCAGCCTCCTTTTCGTTGTTTCCCTTTTTCAACTTCCTAGATCCTTTCCCCAGCAGGTACAACCCTGCCCAGAGCATGCTGCACCCAGCCATCCTTGCACCATGCCCTCACGCCTCAGGCTCCCCTTCTCAGCCAGGCTTTCCGGCTCAAACCTTAGGAAGCTCTACTAAATGTAGAAGCCAACTGTGCCTCACCACTGGCTCAACTTTTGTGTGTGTGTGTGTGTGTGCGCGCGCGTGCGCGCGCGCGCGCGCGTGCGTCCACGTGGAAGCCAGAGAACAACCTTGGATGTCATCCTTCAGGCACCATCCATCTTGATTTTGTCTTTTTAAGAGAAGGTTGCTAAGAGGCCTGGAGCTCCCCATGTAGGCTGGCTGGTAGGCCCCAGGGAATCCTCCCATTTCTCCGCTTACCTAGCATTGGGATTGTAATTGCACAGCACCATGCTTGGCTTTTTTTAGAAAGCGAGGCTGTGGGGAAAAAGCTGGGGTCTTCATGTTTGCATGGCAAGCATGTTATGGACTGAGTCACACACACACACACACACACACACACACACACACACAAACACACACACACACACACGTTCCTTGTTACTGTTTCATAGCTCTTTACCCCAGCCTAGGTGAACTCAGAGGTTTCTAACATCTGGTCTCTGAGATGACAGCTTGATAAAGAGGATACCGAGGGGTACCTCCTCTCCGTCTCTGAGGAGCCCTGTGTCCTGAGACTTGTCATTATTTCACTCAGTTTTCTGAAGCCGCTACGGCTTCCCAACTGTTTATTTTCAACCCGGGTCCTTTGCTGAAGCTTCTGTATCGACAGAGTCCTGGGCTCTGGGAAACTTACCTCTGCTCCTCTGGGCATTGCTTGAGGGAAGAAAAAAAAAGGCAGAGAAGTAATAACTAAGAAGCCTGAAGAAATGAGCAGGCCCAGCCACCAGGCTCCGATCCATCGGGGGTCTCCTGGGCTCAAGTTCACTGTAGCTGAAAAGAAACCAAAGGATGAAAATGTCTGTTGGTTGAATGCATGGTGTCTTCTGACTAGAAAGGGACAGTCAGTTCAAGGGAGTATTTCACTGACTTTCTTCCCGTAATGGTGACAAGACACTCCATGATGTAGGACCCTGGTCACCACACTCCCTCTCCAGACCTTTCTGATCTTCCCAGAGCACCCAGGCCACGGCACAGAAAGCCAAACACTAGAAACTCCCAGACTCCATCCCCCTCTCACTGTGTTTCTTCTCTAGCTGTTGGCAGGAATAATGGTGAAATGACCTGGTCTCCAAGGGCTGACATGGCTCATGCATGTTACCTCCATCACCCTACTGTCTCCTCTAGCATGCCTGTGGCGTAAGAGTTATGTACATCTGACCTCTCTAACCAATCAGGAAAACAAATCCCTAGTCCATTAGCCAATTTCAAACCTGTCTTCCTGGTACCCTAACCTGTACTCCTAATCACTGAGCTCTGTTACACCCTACTTTTGAGGATCCCTAAGAAGGGCAGGCCCATGATTCTTAGGAGCCTGAGAATATAGGTTATCAACAAGATGGTTGCCTGGCCTCCAAAAGAGAAATGTTCCCCTAAAAATCTGCACTGCACCCCATCTAGAAGCCTCTATTGTGTTCTTTGACATCAAACATGGACACGGAATCTTTCTTTTCTGGAAGAAAGTGGCAGAATGGTTTCCAGTTACTCAGTGACAGGCACCCCCGGGCATTGTCCTACATGGGACAGGAGCTCCATTGCTGGTCTCTTTAGGCAGCCAAGAGGGAGGAGCTAAGTCAGAAGCACCAGTCAAAAGGGTAATAAGAGTGAGTGTCCTCGGCATACCCACCAGTGTCCACTCTGCCGAAGTCCACGAAGATCCTCAGCATGACTGAGCCCAGCAGGTACCCAAAAGCCGGTCCAAACACAGCGATGGCAAACAGGATGGCTGGGAATTGAAGCGAGGGACAATGGGTTGAGGGGCATTGAGAATGTTCAGCAACCCCAGTCTCCTAAACCGAGGGAGACTCCTGAGGTATCACCCACTGTCCCCTGGGAATCATAAGCCCTTGCCGCTGACACTTTCTGAAGCCCACGCCCGTAACATTTCCCGCAGATAAGGGCCAGATGCCAAGGCTGGCAGAAACGAGCCTGCTGCTCCTCTCCACCTGCCAGCGAGATCTCCTGGCCGGGAATGAACCTGCCTCCACCGTATCTTAAAAAAATGCCGGTCCAGGGTGTGTTTGTGTGTGAAGCTTCCCATGCACGGTGCTGGCGGCTCTGGCAGGTGAAGGTGGAGTCGGAGGCGCAGTTTGTGACTTGAGGCCCCGAGGAAGCTCAATGTGGCTTTTTCTAAGAGAAGGAATCAGGCACCAGTTGGCCATCTGCTACCTGCTTCACGCATGACAACCTGTCCGCAGCTCAGAGAAGTAATGTACCACCCAACAGGAGCCTGGGGAACTGGGTGACTTGTGGAGGATCAACCGAGTGTCTAACTCATGGCCCAGAGGCCACATGGTCTCCTGGATAGTTATGAATGTGGCCCACTACAAATTTTAAACTTACTCAAAACATTGTGTGTTGTGTTGTTGTTGCATTTAGAGAATGCAATTGCATGGTTCTCTTGTGTTAACTTGGTAGAACACAATGTCATGTTGTGATGTCACAGGCTCAAAACAGGGCTAAATATCAGCTCCCATAATCCTAAAGCACATGGCACACAGAAAGAATCCTGGTTCTGTCCTCCAGATGAGAGCCTGGAGCTCTGGGTTAACCACTTGAGGCCCATACATGTGGAAGGAAGTGGTTGGCATTCACCACGGGCCCACCGCCTTGTTGGCCAAGAGGATCAGGCCCCATTTCGGCCCCAAGAGCTTCTGCAGGTGCCACATCAGCCCCTCCCCCCCAGACCCCTACCCTTCACAACCCTCTTAAAGCTCAAGACTCACAGATATACAGAGGTGAGTTGGTGGGCTCTGCAAAGTCATCCACGTAGGAGATCCCAAATGGCTGAATGGGCACTGTCCCGATGCCGGCCAGCAGCTGAGCAATCACCATCAGTCCCCACATGCTGCTGGTCTCCTTTTGGGTATCTGGCACGGTGCTATGGCACTTACTGGGGGGCAGGTCCGGCAAATGCTTTTGACAGAGGTCGGTCTGAAGGCGGCTGCTGTTTCCTGCAATGAGCATGCCCACTAGTCACCACCACCCTGGTCTCCGGCTTTCACCATCCAATCCTGCCGTTGTCCTGTCCTCTCTCCATACCCCAGCGGAAGGGAAGGAGGGCCAGGGAGTAGGGAAATAGGACATGGTCCTTGAAGAGTGTTCCTCTGCCTGACTGGCAGGAGGAACTACAGAGACTGAGGTGGGAGCCAGGTGGACCTTGGCCCCTGCAACAGGAGCAGCTCTGCCCAGGATGGGGAAGGGGCACCCATTCCCCCTCCTCTCCTGCTGCTGGCAGAGGGCTGCAAATGGCGGGTCAGTGCTGCAGTCCTGGAGGAAAGCACCACCCAGCTGGAAGAAGGGATGCACAGTCAAAACCCAGAGTTCTTCTCAGCAGAAGACCATGTCATTGTCAGTCTTGGCTCTGGTCTTCCCTGGGTCTTGACCCCCTACTCCTTCACTTCTGAATGATCCCAGCACCCCATCCCATTGAAGGACTTGCTGCCAAAGATATTTGGTGCCCTGGCTACACCTGGGCAACTCCCCAGAATCATAGACTCTTTAATGCTTCTTGGCCTTTTGGCTAGGACCAAGTGAAGAATCACAGACTCAGAAAACAAGGGGATTTGGAGACCCTCTCATATTACAGATTGGGGAGCTAGGCTGCACCTGGAAACCCTTCTTGGAGGGCTCCAGTCATCCCAGCATGGCCTTTGGACGCCATGGGTCCTGCGGCTTGGACCTTGCCAGGCTTGGCGGCTGCTTCCATGCCTCTGTTTTCAATTTGGCCCACACTAAACAATCAACGTTGTCAGCATTCCAAGGCCTTGAGGGGTTTAAGGGATCTTTTCCAGATTTCTTTTCTTTTGGCCTCATGCTGGCCAATGGAAATCACTGACGTCACCATTCCCGCTCTGTGGGGTTTTCACTAACACTAATGGAATCAGGAATCCATTTTATTCCTACTTATGATGTTTCTAGAGGTGCAGCCCTGAGCTAGGGGGCCCCAGAGTCCCCTGGAGAGGAAAAATGAAGGCCACGGACTAGATGGTAGGGCTGGGACAGGGGCTGTGCCTTCTCGGCTGCTCTTTCCCCTTTCTACCCAGGCCTCATCTGGCCTAACCCCATCATAGCCTGTTCTCAATGCTGGGGTCTGTACAAGACCCATATGCAAACTTCCAGCAAAGGGGATCTCTCTTTGGTCACTGAGGTCTGACTCAGAGGAAACAGACGGGACCAAGGCCAAGTATTATGGGATCAAGTAGTATGTGAAGCTATGTATGGCAGTGCTCATCTGTAATCTCAGTACTCAAGGAGCTGAGGCAGAAGATTACCAGTTTAGAGGACAGCCTGGTCCACATAACGTGCAACCCTCTCAGCAAACCAAAATATCACTACAACTACTAACTAATGCTCGTGGGTGGTGTAGGATGTAGACGACTTTGACCTAGACAGGGGCCCATTATCTGTGCCCATTATCTATTCAAGAATAGTTTAAAGGTCATCTGAAGGCAAATGATAATACCAGGAAGGAGGTATAAAGACTTGTCCCCTGTGCCCAGCTCAGCCACTGAAGGTCCGTGCCTGGCTCTGAGAAGCCACCCACCCTCTAAATGGCAGGGTGGGTGATGGCTGCCTATTGAAAAGCACCTGCACCAAGATTCACTTTCTCTTTAGTCTCTCAGTTATCTGGCTGGTGACCATAAGAGGGCCCTCTTCATGCAGGCGACAGAGGGACACAGACATGGCCCTTAACGTCCTACAACTTCACCATCTCTCCCAGGTTGCTAAAAAGGCAACCACAGTATCGCCTCACCAAACCAGAACCAGAAAGAGCTATCACTCAACACCCCACAGGACGGCCATCATCAAAAAGCCAGACAACAAGTATGGGCGAGGATACAGGGACAGAGAGACCCCGGTGCACTGCTGGTGAAGCATGCAAAACGGTGCAGCCACCCTGCAAAACAGGCTCAAAATCAGAATGCCCAACGGATCCCGCAAGTCCGCAATCGTCAGAGTAAGTAGAAGCAGGGGCTCAAAGTGATCTCTAGGCTCCCATATGTATGGCACCTTTGTTGGTGAAAACCAAGAAGTAGAACCAACCTGGCAAGTAAGTCAAATCTGGCACATAGTATAGAATATTGTTCCGTCTAAAAAGGAAGCAGATTCTGATGTAAGCGAATAGTGATGAGCCCTGAGGAGACTGGGTGCTAAGTGAAAGAAGCCGGACACAAAGTGGCAGGTCCCGTCTGACTCCGTTGATAGGAGACTTCTAAAGTCGTCAAATTCATAAACCCAGAGAGTGGAACCAGGTTTGCCAGGGGCTGGGGGAGAAGGCAATGAAGCCTGTCCAGTGGATCCAGATGGCTGTGATGGCCACACTTAGCACCACCATCACCTGACAGTGCTAGAATGGCAAGTTTCATGCTATGTATTTCACCACAATTGGAAAAAAAAAGTTATTGACAGGCATGCACCAGGAGAGAGGGCAAAGGGTAAGGAAGACAGGAAGTGCAGAGTTTGGTGGTAGTAGTGGGGTGGGGCTTGGAAAAGTTCCCCCGAGAGAGGAGCCTCTCAACCAAGAAGAAGGCACAGTGGGAAGCCGGGGTGTAGCTCAGCACTCAGAAGTGGGTGACTCAGGACACCCACTGTTTGCTGAGGCCGATCTGCAGTGCAGCTCCCGCAGGCAGGCAGGCAGGGTAGCATGCCTTGGGAACGGGCCTGGATTGCACCTTGAGGAAAGGCCCAGACAGGTAGAGACCTTGACAGGGAAATGCAATAAAGGTGCGGGGCGGATTAAGGCCTGTGTTCCAAAAGCCCTGCTGGAAGGTTAGGGAGTCCCTCAGCCAGAACCTCCAAGGGCTCAAACAGGGGAGGCCGCTGCTGTGTGATACGAGGGTCGGGGCTTGCAAGGGCTCCATGGTTGTGTGGGTGTGAAAGCATGTACAAGGTCTGACTGTAGCAGGAGAACGAAGGGACTTGAAGGTGGGGATGTGTGAGGGGACTTGAGGAACTCCCTGGGGGAAACAACAGGCCAGAAAATAAGAGTTTATTCTAAGCCCTACTTCCTGATTTTGTCCATCCTCACTATTTGGCTAGACTCACATTTATGAGAACATTGTTGCTGCCTTTGGCTGGCAAAAGCATTTTTTTTTTGTGAGACATTTAATGGCCATCAAAGATCGTAAAAACGTTGACTGCCTTATTAAGTCTTCATGTGGCATATTGCGTGGTACGCCGAAGCCACAAAAATCCCCACGAAGCTTCACATAATGAAGTGTCCAGCGGCCAAAAATCTCTGGGGATTGTTTCACTATTACTAAGTTTAAAAATGTCAGTGTGCGGGTCAGAAATCTCTTTTATTCAAAGCATGCATGAAAGAAGAAAAATAATCAATTGGCCCCAACTCCATCCAAGTCTCCAAATTCTCTGTGGCTTAATTCTGTTTCCCACATTGATTCAAGAGGTCCTTGGAGAACATGCTTTTCCTGATGCCAGTTCTGAATGGGGCCTAAGCCTATTTCAGAGCCAGCTCTGACACTTGTGGAAAGGGACAGTAGTTAGAGTTGAGGGGATGGTGCGCTTCGTAAAGTGCTTGACTTCATAAACCTGAGGACCTGAATTTGATCTCCAGAACCCATATGAAAAGCCCAGCATGATGGCACACACTTGCAATGCCAGTGTTGGAGACATGGGGATCACTGGCCATCTAGCCTAGTCTCATTGGCAAGCCCAGCTCCCAGTGAGAGACTATGTCTCAGGTGGATCCTTATGCAGGATCTTAGGAACAAGCCAAGGACTTCCTTGTAGTGGGTGGCCCTGGCTATCACAGTCTGGATGGGAATAGGACCTTTTAAAATTTTAGACCATTAAACTCTTCTCTTTGAAAATCACTGGCATGGGGGGGAGGGGAGGACATCCTGGAGGGTAACTGCAGAGGCAGGAAGAGGTGAAGAACAGGCCTTGGAGAATGACTGAGTGTGTCACAGGGAGGTTGGCCTTCTGGGCTGCGGTCTCCCACTTCCTCCCTGGGGCAGAGTTCTCAGCCTTTTCCAGGGGCTCAAGCCCACATAAGGGATCAACCAGTAGCTCACCATTTCTCAGGTCACATACCTGGGGATGTTCAGAGCCTTCCCTGGCTGGTCACTGTGACTTAGGAGACAGCTCAGTAAGTAAAGTGATGGCCACGCAAGCATTCGGACCTGAGTTCAGATTCTCAGCACCCACGAAGAAAGTCAGGAGTGGCAGCATGCCCCTGTGGTCCCAGCGCTGAGGACACAGAGACAGGCAGGCCCGTCCCTGGAACTCACTGGCCAACAGCCTAGTCAAATAGGTGAGCTTCGTGTTCACTGAAAGATGCTGTCTCCAAAGAAACACAGTTGAGAGTGATTGAGAGAACGTACAGCATTGACTTCTGGCCTCCACACAAGTGGATTGATGTGCATGTGTACACATATGCACACATGAACATACATACAATCACATCCATACGCATATACCCTGCACACAAATTTTAGACATTTGTATAGGTTTATTTATTTTATGTGTATGAGTGTTCTGCCTGCATGTATGGACATTTACTTTTTGTGTGCCTGGTACCCCTTGGGGGTCAGAAGAAGGCATTGACTTCCCTGAAACTGGAGTTGTGGATGGTTCCAAGTCACCTTGTAGGTGCTGGGAACTGATCCTGGATCCTCTGTAAGAACAAGTCCTCTTGACCACTGAGCCATCCCTTCAGCACCACAATTCCCCGCCCCCCCCGAGGCAGGATCTCACTATGTAACTGAACTCGCTATGTAGACTGGGATAGTGTCAAACTTACAGAAATCTGCCTACCCCTGCCTCCTCAGTGCAGGGATTAAAGGCATGTGTCACTATATCTACTCCCCCACAAAATTTTAAAAATAATAAAAGTTCCATAATAAGACCAGAGAAATGGCGCCCCTTTGCACCCACTACAACACTTCTCCTCTGGAATCCATCTGTCTACCCAAGGCTGTCTGCCTTCATA